AAAAATTGAAGAAACTTTTCAAAGAATGTTTATCATTTGTCTCAAAACTTGTGAACTCACCAACATCAAGTTGACATTTCCAAAAATCGCATGTGTTCCTAGGATGCAGTAAGGACCAAGGCAAGGAAGGACTATCAAGTCGAAGGTAGATAGGTTTTTTTAAATAGATAGTTATGGTTTGCACTATGTGATTTGGGTAATCTATGTAAATACTATCACCACTCGGCATTTTCGCCAACGGCTAGGGAAGGTGTGACCGTGAAGGGCTCAAGATTAGGAAATTTGTGTGATATTGACTTGGATAATGTAAATACCCGATGAGGACGCCTTGATCTTTCCATCTTTCAAGTCCTGCAAGTATTTGGGACAACTTCTTATCCAATGACCCTTTTCTCCATAAATAAAGTAGGTGGCCTCTTTTGGATCACTGATTGTAGGGACATCAAAGCTAGGCTTCTTCTTGGACCCACTGCTAACCTCTATAACATGGACCTTCTCTTTCTTGTTGGATTAGGAGGGAACCTTCCACCTTTTCCCTTTTCTATATCCAATGGCTAGGACATGAGTACTTGTTGAAGAAGGAGCATTATTCTTCTTCATCCCTAACTAGATAGTTTCCAACAAGTTATGGAGTTGGGTCAATGTCGTTTCCATGTTGTTCAAATGATAAGTTAGGACAAACTGATCATAACTAGGAGGCAAGGAGTTGAGGACCAGGTCAATGTCTAACTCCTCTTCAAACGGTAGATTGAGCCTTTGTAGTTTCCCTACGTACCTTTGCATCTTTTGTATGTGAGCACAAACAAATTCTCCTTCCTTAAACATGCATTCCATAAGAGACTTGACCACTTTGTAGCGCTCTTGTCTCACATTCTTTTGGAAATTTTTTGTAAGGTCGAGACTTGTCCCATATGGCCAGTAGTCCTCATAGAACGTGGCCAACTCAGGTTTTATAGTGGCCACCATGATGTAAGCAACCTTAGTGGCGTCATCTGAATGTTTGTTATAGGAAGCAACTTCCTTAATAGTACTAGCCGTGCAATGATCGATTTCAACAAGAGGCTTCTCGAGGACATATTCTTTGCCCTTGTATTGAAGATTCATCTTCAAGTTTCTCATCCAATCCATGTAGTTAGGATCAATGAGCTTCCCTTTTGACAGAATCGATAGTAGGGAGAAGTCTGAGTGGAGGGAGACAGATTGAGTAGTAGAGAGATCACTGGTTCCATACATCTATATAAAGAGACATAGTTTTATTTAATGATATAAATACATAATATTTTAACCCAAAATAAATATTCTAGGCTAGGATCTAAAATAAAATTCACAAACAAAGAAGAGGGATGTCATAATCTAATTGCGAATTTATTAAGGCAGGTAATACATATTTACCAATTTCAATTTAACATGAAATTCCTAGATCATTTGAGATTCATTGAATCTTATCAATGGCATTTTTAATCCTAGATTAGGCTTTTCAATTTGTGAATGAGATACCGAGGATCACAAATAAGATGTAAATAACCATGCAACCTGCTTGACAACCTTGAGGTCATTCAACATCTCAAATTGACGTGTCGGTAAACCACACACGCTCCATCAATAATGATAATTTTCGATCTGTCCATAACTCAACTTTATAGTCCCTAATTAGTGTGTTGGTTAACCAAACACACTCCACTAACGACATATAAAGAGTGATGTGTGTTTTCATGGATTAGCCTGTGGTTCACATTTTGTCATAAAGTAACTAGATTTGGGATATCTAAAAGGTTTTGTTACTTTATAGTATCATATTTTTCAAGGTTATGTCATATCAAACCCGTTTGGCTAACGACCCTCCACCATACAAAGGGGCGGTGCGTGAGAGTGGACCCCCCTTAGAGTATAGGTTCGTGAATGAGGCCTACTATTGATTTGAGTTGCTTGTTTTATATATATAATATATTTAACATTTAATAATATATATAGTATAAGCTGTATTTTAATTTTTTTTCAAAATACAAGCTTTAATCATTAATTATCTAAATTATCATATAACTATTTAAACAATTTAAACCTAAAATGAATTTTATAATTATCTTTTAATTACTTTACAATTTAATTAATTATTAAATTCACAAGGGATAATTCAATTTAATTTATCTAATTAAAAATTATAAAATAATGATATCTCCTAATATTTAGGGTTTCAATAATTATCACACAAGGCATTCAAAATTTAGAATCAAGTAGAATCAGTACCAGATAATTATAAAAAATAATACCATAAATTAGATTAGGTAGATAATTACCGAAAGATAGGAAAACCGTTTTCCATTTCGTGGCAGAAGCACTGCAACGTTGTGTAAACAATTTTTGAAAAAAACAGGTTTTTCTAGTTCATGTCATGTGCAGAAGCACTGCCACGTTGTGTAAACAATTATTGAAAAAAACAGGTTTTTCAGTTCGTCTCATGTGCAATCAATGTTTGACAAGCCTAAGCTCTGATACCACTAATGAGTTTTATAGAAAACAAAACTTATACAACGTGGAAACCAATTAACAATTATTTGGGTACTTGCATCCTAGAAAAGATCTATGTCATACACCTTGAAGGCAATGTACAATGAACAACTAAACCAAGCATAACCCTAATGAATTTCGAAAATATCAAGTTTAGGGTTACATACCTTTTGATTTGTTGTTGCAAACAAATCACACTAATCCTTGTAGTTGTAGAACTTGGAAAGCCTAACACCAAAGAAATGATGTCTCTAATGGTTTGTACTAAAACCCTAGCAACAAGAGCACAAAAGGAGAGAGGAGAGGTGAATAGAAATTCGGCTCTTCTAATTGTATATGAGTGCACTAAAATTGAGAACCTAATGAGTCCTATTTATAACCGATAAGATAATCCTAGAAAACCTTAATGTGGAATAAAATAATAATATACTTAATCCAGGTAGTTACCTAGTTTCCTTATATCTGGGAGGCTTCTAGAATGCCCTATAAGGGCACTCTAAAACCGTCCACAAGGGATGGTTCTTGAACCCTTCCCTTGTTTAACTTTTAAACATTGTTAGCTATAAGTCCTTGCACTTTAATTATATCTAATTAATCCCAAAAGTAATTCCAATAAATTTTTGATTAATTCTAAATTAATCATCACAATTTCCAGTTAATATATTAATCATATAATATATTAATAAATCATTTATTTTATTTTTCAGTTAATTTATTATTCCCATAATAAACTAACATATTACTCTCTCTCTCTCTCTCTCTCTCTCTCTCTCTCTCTCTCTCTCTCTCTCCAAATGCAATCATTTTCAGTTGCTAGTTCTGAGGGCAACTAAAAAATGACTTTGCTTCTAATTCAAAAATATATCAATTTATTTATTGGCTTAGACACCCTAATCCAACAACTACAACACATACAAAAACTCAAAACACTTTTCTTTTTCTGTTTTTATATTATATGTTTAATATTTACTAATTAAAAAATAATTTTAAATAATTTATAAATAAGTGGGTCCAACCACTCCGTAGTCCATACATCCTACTCCCTTACCATCCACAGTCCACCTCCGTCAACCTCCATTCAACCACCACAGTTCATCTCCATTCACCTTTGGCTGGACCTTCGTTCAACCCTCCACTGTTCACCTCTATCAACCACCGCCGGTTACCATACCAAATCAAAAGAAATTGAATAAAAAAACACAAACTCATAATCAAAATCAAAACTTTTAATCAAACCAAACCAACCTCTACCGTCAAACCACCACTTCTGCCATCAAACAACACCAACCTATCTTCTATCAACAATCACTACCATCACTCTTTACAAAATCAAAACCACACCATAATCAAAATAAAAGGTTGTGTAGAAGATCAAAACCTATAATAATAATAATAATAATAATAATAATAATAATAATAATAAATTAAAAAGAAACTGAAAACGGTTCAAGAAATGGAAATTGTTCCTTAAAATGGTTCTAAAAATCGAAATAGTTCTTGAATATTGTTTTAAAAGTCAGAATTGTCCCATAAATCAAAACATGTTCCAAATTTTTTCTTATTTGCATTTTATGATCCATTTTTTTCTCCGGTTCACGTTTCAAAAATGTCAAATGATTTTTGGGATGAACACACTAACGATTTTTATCGGCGGCCTGTTTGATGTAGTCGACGTGATTGAGGTCATCGAAGTTTCAAATGAATCAATTTATGTGGTGGACTATGCAGATGTATGTGTTGGCGTTTTCTTTGACGTTCTCAGAGTTGGAGAAGGTGGCGATGTAGTTGTCAGAGTTGTAACAGTTATGATGCCACGGTGGTGATGAATAGGCGGTGTATCTTATTTAGGGTTGGATTTTGTTATTCATAGAATAGAATAAGAGGGTAAAGGTGGGTGAGGTGGAACCAATGCTATAATATTGAAAATATAATAATATAATAAATAGATTATATAATAAGCGCAATATAATCTTTTTACGTTAATTAGAGACCAATATCGCAACAAAAATAAATCACAAGGATTGTCCAAATGCAAGAAAAGTTAGGGATAAACGCCCAAATTTATCCGAACCATAAGGACATTTCATTATCTTGCTCTAATTATTATGCATTAATTAAAGTGTGACATGGGTATAAACTTTTTCGTGTTATAAAGGTGGAAATTGAGGGTATTACACAATAACGAATAATAAAGATAGTAACAAAAGATAATTTTATGGCACCAAGTAGGAATTCAACGACCAGAATTATTATTATACCAATATTTTAGTGGTTGGTTGGGTGTGAAATGTGTTATTATTTCGTTTCATTAGCTTGTTTAATTAAAATATTAACAACGAGGTTGTCAGATAAATATTAAAAATTATGAACAATTTTTTTAAGACGTAATCACGTGCTCGGAGTTGACGAAGAAGCTAAAGCATTTGAATCATTTAAAGTCAAAAAAATATCCAGAGAGCATTTGAAGCATCCGAACCATTTGGAAGTATCATCAGATGGCTTTCGTAAACCCATTTTCTAGCCTAACCTCCGGTGATAAGCAATGGGTAGATCATATTAGCAAAACCTTGAAAAACCAGCTTGCCATTAACGTCGATACACCTCCACTGTCGATATTTCAAATTCCCCAAATCCTAAAAGACGAAAAGCTGGAAGCATATGTCCCTCAACGGATAGGGCTTGGTCCTAATCACCATTTCCAGCCAGAGCTCTATCAGAACATGGAGCAAAACAAACTCACTTCGGTGAAAAGGGTACTTAAGTCTAATAAAGTTCAAGTCTCTGTGGATCAAGTCGTAGATAAAGTCAAAGAGATCATCCCCATAATTTGTGCTTGCTATGATTTGTACCTTGATGCTGATGATGACACCTTGGCATGGTTATTCACCATTGACATATCTTCTTTATTGATCTACTTGGTGCTTATATTGATCAACAGGTTGCAATAGATGCAAAAGATTTTATCATGTTAGAGAACCAGATTCCTCTAATTGTATTGAAGGAAATCCAAAACGACCTATCGGGTAGCTATGATGAAGCCCAAGAAGATTTCTGGGAATCTATGTTTGGGTATTTCTGTAAGTGCCACTCACCATTTATCCTCTCTAAAGAGAAAATCGATTTTAGTAGAGTAAACCATTTACTAGATTATATGTACCAATCCATCGTGACCAATGAAGAATCGATCTCACCAGAAGTTTACTTTCAAAAACCTGGAAGTGGTCCATGTGAAAAAGACGATAAACTAGAACTACATGAAATGTTTATCCAACTTATGGCACTGATCCCAGGGACTAAGCCATTTCTTCAGATCATTGAATCCTTCATGAAAACTTTCTCAGAAAGTATTGAGAAGATGGTGACAGCTGAAGAGATCAAGGTGCCTTCAGTTTCAGAGCTTCGCGATATTGCAGGAGTTAAGTTCCATTTGTCACCGACTAACGGAGGCATCAGAAACATAAACTTTGTAGGCGAAAATGAGCGGTTTTGTTATCTCCCTCTTATTACACTTAATATTGATTCAGAGGTCATATTGAGAAACTTGGTGGCTTATGAGCAATTAATGGCAAAGAAAAGTTTTACCACTGGCCATGGTCTTGAACTCACTGAATATGTAGATTTCATGTGTGGTAACATTGACAATGATAAGGACGTCCGGGTAATACGTGAAGAAAAGATCATCATAGGTGACTTGGGTGATGAGGATATTGTTAAATTGTTTAACGGGATTGGGAGATCTCAGGGGAAAATGAATAGGGCGTCGGATTTGAGGAAGACTGTTTATCAATTAAACAAAGTCTACCAAAGCACGCCAAGAGTTTGGGTCCAGAAGCAACTTCGGGCTTCTGCCAAGATGATCACATTCCTCATCAGCATTTCGAGCACACTGATCTTGATTCGTGAGGTGTATTTGAAGGATTATGGTTTGAATCCACCAAGCATGATTTTGGATGATATTGTTAGGACCACATTGAGTTCTTTTCTTCATTGATAAGGGGATGGGTTTGTGTATTATCTAACATACTTGTTTTAATCTTTTGATGTACTATATGCAGGGGCAGGGGCGGACCCAAAATTTTTTCCAAAATGGGGCAAAAAATAATTTAATTTTATTTATGGGGGCAAAAAAATTTTAAAGAGTAAAAATATATTATTTTGAAGAGCAAAATAATTTTTCAAAAAAATATTCCTATTTTTTTATTATTATTTTTTTGTTGTGGGGGCAAGTGCCCCCACTGCCCCCATTGTAGGTCCGCCTATGACTATATGCCATGAGCTAACATCGTTGTAAATACATCTACAACAACAACAATATCTGATACTGCCGAACCACTACCAGTACATGAAGCAGCCCAGTTACCACAATATGAGATTCACTCGGCCCAAACGAATCATCAAGAAGCCAGAAACCTGGCCGATTTCTAGAATAAAGCATGTGAGATTTACAGAATTTTTTCGAAGAGGGGGCAAAAAATAATTTAATTTTATTTATGGGGGCAAAAAAATTTTAAAGAGTAAAAATATATTATTTTAAAAGAGCAAAATAATTTTTTCAAAAAAATATACCTATTTTTTTTTATTATTTTTTTGTTGTGGGGGCAAGTGCCCCCATTGCCCCTATTGTAGGTCCGCCTATGACTATATGCCATGAGCTAACATCGTTGTAAATACATCTACAACAACAACAATATCTGATACTGCCGAACCACTACCAGTACATGAAGCAGCCCAGTTACCACAATATGAGATTCACTCGGCCCAAACGAATCATCAAGAAGCCAGAAACCTGGCCGATTTCTAGAATAAAGCATGTGAGATTTACAGAATTTTTTCGAAGAGGGGGCAAAAAATAATTTAATTTTATTTATGGGGGCAAAAAATTTTTAAAGAGTAAAAATTTATTATTTTAAAAGAGCAAAATAATTTTTTCAAAAAAATATACCTATTTTTTTTATTATTTTTTTGTTGTGGGGGCAAGTGTCCCCATTGCCCCTATTGTAGGTCCGCCTATGACTATATGCCATGAGCTAACATCGTTGTAAATACATCTACAACAACAACATCTGATACTGCCGAACCACTACCAGTACATGAAGCAGCCCGGTTACCACAATATGAGATTCACTCGGCCCAAACGAATCATCAAGAAGCCAGAAACCTGCCCGATTTCTAGAATAAAGCATGTGAGCTTTACCAAGTCAAACCAGTTAGCATTGGATACTTTTCATTTCTACTGTTTAGCATGTGTTCCTAATAATTGGGTTCTACTTCTTGGAGTAACCCACGATTAGAGTAGCTGCATTTTCTATTTTTCGAGTAGTATTTAAACAATGTACTTTGGTTTTAATAGATTATTCAGAAAACTGATCCGGTTACTATTTTCTTTCTCTTAGTTATTGGAGGTTGACCACCTCGAATATGTACGGTTCTAATCATCTGGTGCTTTCAATGCCGATCTCCCAACTATGCCTCCCCAGAAAGATACTACAACCGACATACCCCTAAACCAGAAAATAAGCTCAATGAACCTCCGATGGACAACCTTCAAGCACTTCTCCATATTGTTACTACCACCAGACGAACACCCAGCTCGACACCCTCACCACTAATGTTGCAAACCTTGTCCATCTCCTCATAATCTAACCACCCCCACCCGCACCAAATCACCAACCACGACCACCCAAGATACGGCTTCCCAACTTCGACGGCTCCAATCCACTTGATTGGATTTCAGTCAAACAACTACTTCATCTATTACAACATATATACCACCCAACCACCGCATCACACTATCTGTTTTTTTATTTGTTTTTTACTTCACCGGAGAGGCCTTGAGTTGGTACAAGTATATGTAAAACAACCACCTTTTGGGAACATGGCCAAAATTTACAACTTCACCAAGTTTCCACCGTCTCGGCTTACCAAGCAGAATTCGAAAAAATCAGCAATCGCATCGATGGCCTTTCCACAACAGCCCTCCAAAATTGCTTTATTTCCGGTTTGCATTCCTACATTCAAAATGGGATCACATTACACCACCTACCGACACTCCCCCAACCATGCATACTAATCAAACTTATCGAAGACAAATTAAACAACAATCGAAATCGCTACAAGTCTACAACTCCTTCTCAAGCATCTTCCCCTCCTCTTCAACCCGATATCAAAAATACACATCCACCTTCCTTTTCCTACGAGCGTCGACCACTGCCATGCTACCTCCACCCCAAAACTTGTACACCACTTCCTTTTACAATACTTCCCCCCGAAGAATCAATTCTAGAACCTCTAAAACCGTCTAAGCTTATGGAGGCTTATAGAATTGCTTTTCCTTGCTCAATTATGAATAATTACAATTCAGCCCTTTCACCATTAATTAATTCCAATTATTCCCGAATTAATTCCAATTTAATTCTGATTAATAATTATTTAATTCCAATTGTTTCTAATTAATTTATTAATCATATAAAAAATTAATAAATAATTTATTTTTCTCTCTACTAAAGTCATTTCTGGTTATTTCTAGTTATTGAGGACAGCTCAAAAACGACTTTAGTTTTATTCCATAATGTTATAGCAATTTAATTATGACCTTGACCAATTTAGTTATAACCTTAGACACATATTCCAACAATTAGGAATCACTTTGCTAAGGTCATTCGGATATATGATTGCTAATTTCTTTATCCCACAAATCTCTTTACAGTCAACGAAATCCATGCACTCTACGAAGGGACCCTTTCCATACCTGTTTCAACCAGCTCATTACATACCCTCATCCGCAAAGATTCCATTGCCTCTTTCCATGCCATGATATTTCATCGCCAACCACCAACTCCTATGAAAACTACCTAATAACCACACACCAAATTCAAACCTCTATTTGAAACACCCAATGACTTACCTCCACTACGAGATCATGACCACCACATTACTCTATTACCAAATTCCAAACATGTCCTCATCAAACCTTACTAATACCCCTACTACCAGAAAGAGATCATGACCTCTCTCATCACCGACAAGCTCAAAGAAGGCGTCATACAAGCAAGTCAAAGCCCTTATTCATCACTGTTGTTACTAGTTCCAAAAAGATGGAACATAGCAGTTATGCATCAACTATCGAGGTCTCAATTCCATCACCATTAGATATCGCTTTCAAATACAAACACCAGATGAAGTTTTTGGACGAACTCCATGGCGCCACCGCATTCTCCAAGATTGACTCAAGATCCATCTATCATCAAATTTACGACTTGAAAAACAACATTCACAAGAGTACTTTTTAAACAGTTGATGGCCACTATGAATTTCGGGTCATGCCTTTCTGCCTCACCAATGCACCATCTACATTTCAAGCAGCCATGAAGGACCTCTTCGGATCGGTCCTACTTAAGTTCGTCTTGGTATTTTTCAGTTATATCCTTGTCTACAGCCCCTCAATCGACGCCCATGAAAAACACCTTCGGTTTTTTTTTTCAAACACTAATGACCAATTAGTACTATGTCAATGTTTCGAAGTGCATGTTCGCTGTATACGAGATACCGTTCTTGGGTCATATTATTTCTTTCAAAGCCTGACCCACTCGAACATCTTTTACTATTTTACATGCCTTCTTGGGCCTCACAGACTATTACTGTCGATTTTTCTAATCATATTCCCAGATTGCCTCTCCTTTAACGAAACCATGACACGCCTTTGTATAGACAGACAAAGCCACAAACACCTTCACCTCCCTTAAAGAAACCATGACACGTCTTCTAACCCTAGCTCACCCAAACCTCATTGAAACCTTCAACATAGCTACCGATACATCGGGTATCACTATTAGCGATGTGCTCTACAAACATGACAAACCCATCCCCTTTTTTAGTAATAAACTTTGTGATCGAATGAAAAGCAAATCCACTTACATCTGTGACTTATGTGCAATCATAAAAACCATAA